GGACCTCCAGGAGTGTTTCCTGTTGTAGTGTGAACCCTCAGGGTGAGGGGGGGGGAAATGAGAGCCTGGTGCTGCTGTGCTGTGCTTGGGACAGCCAGCCTTTGGATACACACGAAGGTGACCACGAGCTCCTCTTTGGGAGGTGGTCTCTATAAAAATGGATCTTTTTTTTTTTTTGGCGTAAAGATTTAAAAAAAAAAAAAAAACAAACAACCTATAAAAAAAATCCAAGCAATGAGATCAAGGTGAAGCTGTCTGGGGATCCCTCAGCCAACACGAGGGGATGCAAACCAGAACCCCTCCGAACAACGGCCCCTGGGTCGTAGTGTTGTAAAGCAAAACACCCACGTAGTGCTCCGTCTGCAAAACAGACAAAATGCCCACAGCCCCCGGGTGGCACCGACCTCCCACGAGGCGCTCGGTGGGTTTGGACCCAATGCTGCTGGTTGGGATTGGAACAGAAGCATCTGTGACAACACAAGCGTTTGTGGTGGTTAAAAGATGCACGGCCAGAGCTGGGCCGGGTCCCCCATCTTCCCTCCTCCCTGCTTTGCACTGTGCTCGTCCTCCCATCTCAGCAGCTGGGATGCACCGAAGCGCTGCGTCCTGCTGAGCACAGCTCGCTTTGGCACCCAGAACGCAGCAGCTCTGTGCCACCTCCCGACCCCACGGCCACCTCAGCACAACGATCCCATCAGATCGCCCTCCAGAGAGGATCCACCCCGCTCTGAAGGGCCAACAAAGCAGCACAACCAATGCCTGGGGGATGCAGGGAGAGCAGGGAGAGCAGCGCTCCCTCCAGGAGCATCCGCTGCACTAAGAATCCCACCTGCATCCCAAAGGCTGCGAGCACCAGCTCTGCTCCTTCCTAAAAACCAGGGGAACCCTCAGCAAGCCATCCACTACGCTGGCACGAAATGCAGTAAGCAAGGCTTGTTTGCTGCTAGCAGCAAGAGAAGAATGAGAGGCTGGCACTGAGCGCCGCAGCACCGCAGCCTGAGCCCCAGGGTTCTGTGGGCTCTGCTCAAGCAAAGGGGGAGCTGCTGTGTGTGAGAGGGGACGGCGTGTGCGCGTGGGAAAACGATGCAAATAATTAAAAAAGTAAGAAAAAGAGGGGGGGGAAAAATAATAAAATGAACAGTGAGAGTCAGGCACTTCCCCAGGCTCAGCAGCTGTCGCTCCAAGAGCTCCCATCCTTTGTGGTCCATGAGCAAAACACAGCGATGCACAGAGCATCAATAACTTAAAAACAAAACCACGGTCTTCATAACTTTTGCAATTGATAAGAAAAAACAAGACAGCAAGTCAGAAGCAGAACATCTGAAGGGTGGAAAAGCGATGGCTTCTCTCTTTTTTTTGGGTGCGTTTTGCCTTTTTGTTGTGTGTGGTTTGGTTTTGGGTTTGGTTTTTTGTTTGCACAACATTGGAGAGCAGTTGTTGTTCCCCAACGTTTCAGCACAGTGAACCTGGGGAAGGGAAAAGAAAGGGGGGGAAGCAAGCAGGATTAGCAGATCACAAACCAAGGGCACCCTACAGCACAAGGCAAAGGGACCAGTAGCATTCCACACTCCCACAGTCCAGGGACTTCAGGACCTCGGCTGGGAAGTTACTTTGTCTACATACAGCATGGGAACGAGGAGGGGAAATAATTAAAAAAAAAAAAGTGGCTAAGCAACAACAACAACAACAAAAAAAGCTTGAGATGAGGCCGCCGCAGCTGCTTGGCAACAATTAAGAAGTGAGCAAGGTGCTGGAGGAATGAGGCATATCCCCATCGACTGTGAAATAAAAGCCATTTGTTAAAAACAGGAAATCAATCAGCTACTCTGTGGACAGAGACATGAGACTCCAGGGTAACACCGAGCACTCCACAGCTCAGACAAATTGCCAATCATCAGATCATCAAAAAATTAAAACATTTTGTGGTTGGTTGGTTGTTTTTTTTTTTTTTTTTCCTGTCACATTTAAAATTATTTTTTTTTTTTTTTTTCCTCTTTTTTTGTCTTTTCACCACCGATGCCTTTTTTTTCCAAGGGGTCAAACCAGGTTGTATTCCTTCAGGTTGAGCTGTAGGATGGTGTCCTTCACGGCTGCGAAGACGAAGCGGATGTTCTCCGTGTCTGTGGCGCACGTGAAGTGGGAGTAGATGATTTTGTCACTGTCTGGATTCAAATCCACAAACATCTTGAGGATGAACTCGCGGGCTGCCTGCGCGTCCCTCTGCGGGCCTGCAGCAAACAAACAGCACTTAATGGCTCTGTGCAGCCTGCAGGGTGAAGCAGCACAGCACCGTGCTTCTCCTGCGCTGCTGGAAAGAAGAAATCCCAAACACTTCTTGCATACAAACGTTGGGAACTGGTGGCTTTTTTGCTCTGAAAGGAGCTGTTGTCCAGGGTTTGATGAGGCTGTGGATGCCCCAGACCTGCAGGCATTCGAGGCCAGGCTGGATGTGGCTCTGGGACACTGGGCTGCTGGCTGGGGACCTGCACATAGCAGGGGGTTGGGACTGGATGAGCACCGTGGGCCTTTTCAACCCAGGCCTTTCTGTGATGATTCTAAGATTATGGGTCCCTACAGATCCCTGTGGCACCCTATGGGTTCTCTAGGCAGCCTGGGCTGGTGGCTGGGGACCTGCACACAGCAGGGAGTTGGAACTAGATGAGCATTGTGGTCTTTGCAACCCAGGCCATTCTGTGATTCTGACAGACAGCAATGTGTTATTTCAGACCAAGCTCTGGAATAAACAGTCTACAGCTGTTTACATGACTGAATAGTGATAGGACAAAGGGGGAATGGTCTTAAACTGAGACAGGGGAGGTTTAGGTTGGATGTGAAGAGGAAGTTTTTCATCCAGAGGGTGGCGAGGCACTGGAACAGGTTGCCCAAGGAGGCTGTGGATGCCCCATCCCTGCAGGCATTCAAGGCCAGGCTGGATGTGGCTCTGGGCAGCCTGGGCTGCTGGTTGGGGACCTGCACACAGCAGGGGGTTGGGATTGGATGAGCACTGTGGGCCTTTGCAACCCAGCCCATTCTATAACCCCACCTGTGCTGTGTTTGCTGGACAACAGACACCTGGATTCACACACAGCCATCTGGAATTGAGCTGTATCTTTCTTTTTAATACATAAATTCATCTCACACCCTTGAGGATGTGAGTGTATGTTATTAAACAAAGATCATCTTCAGCCAACTCCATCCTCACCACCCTGTTAACTCAAAGGAGCCCAAAACTGCAACTCCTGCCTTTATTTACTCGGTGGTGCTGTCAGCTCCTTAGGAAAAGTCACCTCCTCTGAGTCACTGTGCTGATATTCTTTTCTCAGTATTGGTGTTCTCACACTCCCTGCAGCACGGAGCATCTCCTGGGAGGTGGTCTGATGGGCTCCCTCCCACTCACAGCCATGCAGTGCTCCTGCAGCAGCCGCAGCCCTCACTCAGATGAAAGTGGAAAGCACGTGGTGCTCCCTGACTCTGCTACGTGGGCTCCAGCTGTTGTGCTCTGTAGGAAATCCGTGCTGTTTGACCCATGCAATCACAGACTGCTGCAAAGCCCTGATGTTCTCCACTGCTGATTTCAGAGCGCTCACAGACAGCAGGGGGCATGAGACTCCCAGAGTGGGAGGACAAACCATAAGGAGAGATTTCATTTGTCATTTCAAAGCAGCAAAGCGGTTGGTTTGCCAAACTGCAGCTCTTCCTTCCATGCACTTTCTGAAGATGCATAACAACAGGCAGCACATGACAGCGTGGAGAGGAGCGTGCTGCCTGATCTCATTCCCCACTGCATGTCATTGCTTTCAGCCCTGGGCTGGTGTGTTACCACACAGCTCTGAATGCTCTCAGCTGCAGAGCTGGAAGGACAGTGCTATTCTGGCTGAGGAATTCTGCTTCAGGTGAGACTTTCTGTGTTCCATGCAGGTATTACCATTCCACAACTCAGATGGGGCTCAATAAGAACTGAATGCCATCTGAGCTCATTCAGCATCAGTGTGTGAGCAGCTCAGGTGCCTGACCAGGCAGGCTCTCTAAACAAAGCCTGAAATTGCCTCTTGATTAGAGCATTAAAACGCCCAGCACACCGCTGCATTGCCACCTATTGAAAAAATAGATCACATGCACAAGAATCCAGGGAAGAAAGTCAGACTTTATCCATTTTAAAGTGTTAAATGATGGCTTGGGGAAAATCTTTTCTATCTCATCCTGCAGGAAAGGTTCATTATTTGCTCATTTGGTTAAATTCCTATCAGCCAAGTAAGATCAGGGTATTTTCATGACATTTCTCATTGCAGGAGAAATTCCCTTTGAAATTAAAGAGCTTTTCCTTCAATCTCTAAGAGAATCCAACCAAACCATCCCCTCCCCTCCTTCTAAGCATAAAGTGTTTCCCCATTGAAGCCACTCACCATCAAACTCTGGGAAATAGTCAACGAGATGGGAATAGAGGATCTTGTCTTCCAACAGATCCTTCTTGTTCAGGAAGAGGATAACTGATGAGTTTTGGAACCAGGGATAAGTGATAATGGTTCGGAAGAGGGCTTTACTCTCTTCCATCCGGTTCTGAAACAAGAAAGCAGTTTGTAAAGATGAGGATTAAGGTGCCCTTCTGCTGCCTGCAGCAACAGCTCAGCTCCTGCACACACAACACTTCGGTCCCAGCTAAGTGCTGGCTCATTTGGAGCAGGTAAATGGAAAGAAAATGCAAAGTCTGATGAACTCGAGCCTCATTTGATTGGCAAATCATTAATATCAGAGACTTTTATAAGTCGTTTCACACTTTGTAGTCATGTAAAAGCCGTGGTACTGTGTGAGCTACTGCATGTTTTCATCTCTATGAGACGAAACAATGCCCACTTCCACCTCCTGGCATTAGTTTTGATCTATTAGCAGGTGTCAAAATTGAGTACTGCCACTTCAGAGACCAGGCATGAAGAGAGCAGCAGCCACAGCACAAAGGGATTCGAGTGAGGAAAAGAGGAAAGCAGGAACAGGGAATTCTAAGAGCATCCCCTCAAGTTGCACAGTGCCTTCTGAGCCACACAGGGCTCAGCAATTTCAGGGTAATTCCCCATTATTTGAGAAGTACAGATAATGTGAATGTACAATGCATGCCCTGTTCTCAATGACACTGTGACCCACTGAGGCTCATGTTCTCCTCACAATAGGAAGAGCTGAAGGCCAACTATTCTTACTTGCACAGCACTTTGTTACCAGGCTCCCAGAAGGCAAACAGACATCCTTCCTTCCCCACCACCCCCCTGCAAGGCTCCTCCCTTTGGCTTACCTCATTATCAGACTCCACCAGAACTTGGTCATATTCACTAAGTGCTACTAAAAACATGATGGAAGTCACATTTTCAAAGCAATGGATCCACTTCCTCCGTTCTGATCTCTGACCTCCAACATCCACCATTCTGTGGAAGAGGAGAACACAGAAACAGCTGCAATTCTCCATCTGAATGCAGAGGACCAGCATGCAAAGAGAACAAATGCCACTCTACCATATGGATAAGCCAGAATGGGGATGTAACACCATGCTTGCTAACAAAGCCATCGAGTTCACAAAATATCCCATTTCAGACAAAATCAAGCAGAAGAGATGCCCACGGGAGTGCAGTATCACACTCAGAACCCAAACATCACCACTGCCCTTTCAGTTGCACTTTGGTTTGTTAAACAGCTGTCCTTCAAAACTCTGCTCTGCCCAACCAAAAACTATTTGTTGTTTCCTGTGAAAGCACCTGCTTACCTCTGAACTCCTCACAGAGCATGCTTTGGAAACAAAACCTTCTAGAACGTGCTCTGCAACAGTGACACAGCCTGGCTCCTCAGCCCTGAGTCCCACCTGTGCACAATGCTGCAGTTACCTGGTGAGACCCGAAGCTCAGCACAATGGCTCCAATCCCCACAGCTCTGCTATAAACCCACGACCATCTCACAGAGCAGAGAGAGTAATTTTGGTACATCTGTAATTGAATGGATTCAGAGATGGGATGCAGGCTTCTTTAATTCCTCTTTTGTAATGGCAGTGTTGTGGTGGAGATGGGAACCGGCAGCAGAGAAGCAGGGAGGAAAATTGCTTTTGCATGTCACTGTGCCCTCAGATGCCATGCTCATTTCCTGGCTTAACCACATATTGCTGCTGCAGCAGAGGCAGCAAGTTTTGAGGGCACAGAAAACCATCACACACAGGAGGAAGGCTCTTTTTGAAGGAGAAACAAACAACCAAAGCTGCTCAAGCAACCTCAAAGGTAAACCCATTCCAAGTGCCACACACAGCACGTCCCCCACCCCTGGCTGGGGCCACCAGCAGCTCAGCAGCCCTACCAGCCTTCAATTCAGCAGGTCCTGCTTCCTGATGGTCAGTGCTTCCTCTTGGAGCTTTCCTTTAAGATAAAACATGGCACCAGCCCCTTCCAGCACATCCTTCACAACATCACAGCACAAACCAACCCTAAATGGGGCAGCTGGACGCTAAAGCAACGCAGAACCCAAAACTGAGCCACTCTCCTCTCAGTTCAGCTGTAACACGAACACACCCTCAGTACCTGAAGATAATATTCTCTAGGTCAAAGGGGTACTCTATGATCCCAGTCGTAGGAACTCGAACCCGTAGCACATCTTGCTGAGTTGGTAGATATCCTGGGGTAGCGATACGATCCACGTCGCTGAGATAGCTGCAGCAAACACAAAAACAAGCAGCACCACCTCAGGTTGCAGCAGAAATATACAGCTTTAAACACTGCCACTGCCCCCAGCCCAGAGATAGTCACTGGAGGGATCTGAAACGTGACGTGGAGAACATCAAAATGTGCCTTTGGGAAGCAGGAATTTGGGAGCCATCCCCCTTGGAGGGTGAATGGAGGCATTAAGGATGGATCTGTCAGCTCTGCGTGGAAGGCAACTTTACTACAGAGAGGCTTTAATGAAGGGGATGCTTCTGTTTCAGTATCAGGATTCACCTGAGTTTTTCTGTCATGAAGGGATCTGTGCTAACAGCCAGAGGTGAACAGTCCTCATTTCTCTGTACTCAGATTTTGTTGGTAAGTTAAATATCTACGTAGAACAATAAGGCCAGAGGGCCAATGGGAAGAGAAAATAAGCAATATTTTGCTGCCTAAGAGCCACAGCCACACAGATAGCACCAAGCAGAGATTCCACCCTCACCTGTACCTAAAAGCAGATGTGTGAGCACCTCCATCACCCACCAGAACACCTCAAACCCACACGAAAAGCAGCAAGGAAGGAAGGAATCTGGGAAGGAATCTCCAGATCTGAACCTGTCCCCAAAGAAACAGAGCTTCCCCTTTCTCCTGCAAAGCTCCAGGCCTTTCTGTAGCCAGATTAACACTTACAGCTACCCAATGTTCCTTCATCTTAACTCTGCCCAAGGATATTTTGTGCTGATAGAGGCAAACTGTTGGCTTATAGGTTTTATCCCAACACATGTAGCTTGTCTAAAGCACTACCAAGACTCACCTACCCCAGTGAAAACAGCAATATGCATTAAATGTATTAAATATGTAATGGAATCCACTGCAGTGTTCTTACCCTCTGAAACAAACCCTGTAACTTGAAAAATAAGAAACTGGGCAGTTTCTATTTGTGAGAGCATCAGCACCACGTGCTGGTGAGTACAACTTACTATTTAGCTGAATCAGAAAGTTGGTATTCTCTTCTTCTGTCATAGCACTCCTGTATTCCAGGGTCGTTCCACAAGGTTTTAATTGCACTTACGTAGGGCTGCTCAAATGTCATCACCTTTTCTACATCCACCTCCCGGATCAGGACTGCATTGGCCTGGAGATGGAAGAGCAAAAAAATCACAGCAAAATAACCCTCAGGTGAAATAAGGCCTTTCCTTATGACTTCAAGGATCCAAACACTGCAGGCAAAGAGCAGTGAGCAGTGATAAATCACCCGGCTGAGACACCACAGCTCCATTTTACCCAGAATTACACTGAGAAATTACACTGAAGACACTGAATTACACTGAGAAATTAAAGTTCCACGTGTTTGTTTCACAGCAGTTCCCAAGGCAGGATGCCCACTGTGAAGGACCCCAACTGCAGTGGAGGTGAAGCTGCAGAACCTCTCTGAAGGCACAAAGGCCACCCAACCCCTACAAACAGCTCACCAACGCCAGCTCTGTGCTGCTGTGTGACAGAACACATTACAGATGGCTCTACTTTGAGATATTACACCATGCATCCAAGAAGCAAAATGCCAGGAAACCTAATTTCTTGGTGCACACTCAACAGGACCCCCCCTTCCCTAAATAACTACGATGTCAGATCAGATGTGAGTGGAAGGGATTACCCTAGAGGCAAGATAGGGAAAGGCAAAGCACAGAATTGTGATTCAAGCAGAGGGTGAGACCAAAACCCTTCAAGAAAGGCAGCACCTTTGGTCAGTGCTTATCACAGATTGATAGCTTGCAGGAGCAGTGATCAAAGTGTTCAGGTGTGACAACAAGCCAGCCAAAGGAAAGAAAGCACAGGCAACAAGACTGGGTGCTTTAAATAAGCACACAGAGCCTCTCTTGTGTATCAAGTTCCAATTCCTTGCTCCCCCATTTGCCATACAGAGCAGCATGCAAACGACCCTGAGCAAGGAAAGGATTCCTTCCTCCAGGTGGAAGGTTGCTCCAGCCCTCAGCCAAAGGCAGCAAATGGAGTTCAACAGAACGCCATAAACAGCTGCTTTTAAGCACATAAAAAAAAAAGAACACAGGGAAGAGTTTGGGGAGGTTGAGATCACAGTGCAGAAGGGCCCAAGCAAACAGAAACCTGGGAGCCAAACGCCACTATCCCCACAACCTTAAAACATGCAGAAATGCAGAGAAACTCACCTTGTTCTGTTCGTATTTGTACAGAATCTTCAGGGTTTCCATGGCCCTGATCATGGACTGCATGGCAGTGAAGATGTTTTGATATACCAGCTTGGTAAAACCTTTTTTGTCCTCTTCAGAGTAGCCTGAGCCATGAATGATACGCATTTGCTTAATGAACGTGCTTTTTCCACTCTCCCCAGTGCCTGCAGGATGCAAGAGAGAGCATTAGTGGCCACGGCAAGCAAGGCTTGGTACAGAGAACAGCATGCTTGCATCCCATCACGCCTCCAAGCCCCTGCTGCTGTATCCAAGTGCCCACTGTCCATCCCAGTGCCATCCCACAGCTCCAGCACAGGGTGGACATCTTGTCCTCTGCTGCAGCCTTCTGAAGCAAGGCTGCTACTTCTCCCAAATCTCACATTACAGCCACTCCCCCACGCACTGCGTCAAAGGGCCCCGTCACACCTGAGCTGCTCCCAGCTACTCCATGAGATGCTCCAACCACCGTGCAGCAAGGAGGGCTGCTTCCCTTACAGCCCACGCATCAGCAGTGGGGAAGAGTGGGATGCAGCAGGAAAAAATCAGCCCTAAGGGATTGCAGAGCTCGAGGAATGGCTCATCTGTCTGCCACCACCATGCAGTCAGAGCATCTGCCTGGAAACTGCAAGCAGCACGAGATGAAACGGCGCCTGCTCCTCAGGACTGAAATGGAAATCCTCACTGCTGAGCTGCAATATTCTGCACTCTGGGGCTGCACACTGGGACTGCACTGTGGGGCTGCACTCTGCACGTTGGGGATCACATTCTGGGGCTGCACACTGGGACTGCACTCTGCACACTGAGATTGCACTCTGCAATTGCATTCTGCACTTTGGGGGTCGCATTCTGGGGCTGCAGCCTGGGATTGCACTGTAGGGTTGCTTTCTGCACTCTGGGCCTGCGTTCTGAACTCTGGGCTTTGCATTGTGGGGTTGAATTCTGCCCTCTAGGATTGCACTCTGGGGCTGCAAACTACACTCTGCAATTGCATTCTGCACTTTGGGATTGCATTCTGGAGTTGCATTCTGCACTCCAGGATTGTACTCTGGGCTTTGCATTCTGCACTCTGGGACTGCACTCTAATTGCATTCTACACTCCAGGTTTGCATTCAGGGCTTTGCATCTTGTACTTTGGGCTTGCATTTTGCCCTCCAGGATTTGCATTCTGGGGCTGCAAACTACACTCTGCAATTGCATTCTGCACTTTGGGATTGCATTTCAGAGTTGCATTCTGCACTCTGGGTCTGCCCTCTGCACTTTGGGATTGCACTCTGCAATTGCATTCTGGGGCTGCAAACTGCACTCTTCAATTGCATTCTGCACTTTGGGACTGCAATCTGCAGTTGCATTCTGCACTCCAGGATTGCACTCTGGGCTTTGCATTCTGTACTCTGAGATTGCATTCTGGGACTGCATGCTGCACTCTGCTATTGCATTCTGCCCTCCAGGATTGCATTCTGGGGCTGCAAACTGCACTCTGCAATTGCATTCTGGGGCTGCATTCTGTACTCCAGGATTGTACTCTGGGCTTTGCACTCTGCACTCTGGGGCTGTACTCTGCAATTGCATTCTGCACTCTGGGTTTGCATTCAGGGCTTGCATTCTGCACTCTGGGGCTGCACTCTAGGGTTGCACTCTGCACTCTGGGATTTGCATTCAGGAGCTGCATCCTGCCTCCCCCAAACCCCAGAAACCTCTTGCAGCCTTTGGATACGACAGAGTTAAACCCAGTGCCTGACAGGGAGAACAAAGTCAGACGTTGCTCACAGCAGTGCTCTGCCCAGCTCCCCAGCAGCCTGCTGGTTCCTTATTGCACACGTTTAGTGCCAGGTCCTAAGAGCAGCTGGAGGGCAGCTCAGCAGCAGTGGCTGCAGCCCGGCCTCTGGTTGCACACCTGGGCAGCTCCTATGTTTGTGGCCCCGCTGGTGAAGTCAGGAAAGCCAACAGCTTACATAAGACGACGTTGGGAAGTTGAAAGGAAAAAAACGTCAGCAGGTAGAAGTGTTTTGAGTCGTGATGCAAGCTTGTTTTGCTCACTCGGTTTTATGGCAAGCGCCCAGTGAGCTGCACTCCATGCAGACACGGTGTGCTCTGGGGAAGGGACACACAGCCACCACCTCCCCGTGCTGTGTGAACCACATCACACGGCACTGAGCACAAACCCAGCCAGCAGCAGCGTTCAGCACCAACATCCACCTCCCAGCCCAGCCACCCGGATGCAGGATGCTGAATCCAAAGAGACAGCTTTAACCCCCCCCCCTCACCCCCCCAATTAACAGCCATCTCATTAAGCAAGCCACCCTTTGGATCTCCACCTACAAATGCACACAAATGCCAGCACAGCCCTCGCTCTCACCCCAGCCCAAGCAGAGCTGGGTGCACCAAAGCAGATTCCACCCCTTGCAGCCACCAATCCCCAATTACTCACTCTCCCAGCACCAGGCTAAGAAGGCAAACAAATAAATAAGCCCAAATAAAAGCAGCCAGCTTATAAATAGAAGCGGAGTGTTTAAAATAAACAGGCAAACTCTCCCCCATCTCCACCAACAGACTGAGTTGTGGGTTTTTTTTTTTTTTGTCTCCGAGGTTAGGAATTAACATCACAACCACCATGCAGCAGCGGCGGCTCCATCTCAAACAGAAAGCAAACAGAAGAGAAGGGAGGGAGGGAGGGGGGACTGGAAACCGAAATATTCTGTGGTTAGGTGTGCTGTGGTGAGAAAGACTTCCTCGCCTCTCACCACAGCGACCAGAAGGGAGGAAAGGAAAAGCATTCTGATAGTGAAAACACGAAGCAAACCTCAGCGGTGTTCACCTGCTCCAGAGCCGGGCTGCTGGCACACAGAGCCTCCTGCTGCTCCATCACTGCCTCTTAATGTTATTACGTGGGGTTTTGTTGTTGTTGTTGGGTTGTTTCTTTTTGGGGGGGGGGGGGGGGGGGGGGGGGGGGGGGGAGGTTGGTTTTGGTTTTTAAAGCTGCCTCCTGCTTTCGTGTGGGCCATCAATAATGCAGAGCATCACACCCAACGTCACCAGCTCCAAGCGGCGCCGCCTCCTGCACTGCATGAGGGCAGAAACCCTCCTGGGATGGCAGTGCACAAAGCAAGGAGCTGAACTCAACGCGCCTCCTGCCAACACGTGGGAGCAGCACAGCTCCCCCCCCGTCACCGATGCCCCCCAGGAACCCAACAGGTGAATCCAAGCAGTGTTACCCCAATGCTGAGCGATGCCAGGGGATCTTTGTGTGCAGGTTCTCCCCCCGTTGCCACCCCAGCAATAAAACAAAAAGGCCAACGATGAGCAACGCGTGATATCTTGAAACAAAACCCTCTCACTGCTGGGTTAAGCACTGAACAGCACTGTGATTCCTCACTGTGATAGGATCCAACAGCTGCCATTGAGAAGAAAAAACCATCACTGCTTCTGCAGCTCCTCCCATATCCAAACCCTTCTCAGACTGTGTGGGAAAAGCCCTCTCAATGATATCAGTGATTGAAGACCTCCGAGCTCACCCCAAGACAGCAGAAATCCACAGCAGATCTCCTTAATGGAGGCAGAATGCAACAGTGTAATGTGGGCGATGTGCAGAGCTGCACCCACTGAAAGCAAACACCACAAAGAGCTTCACCCCCCCCCCCCCCCCCCCCATGCTCTAAACCCCGTTGTTACTGGGGGAGCAACACCCCCCTGTCATTTTGGGGAGGTTTTGGTTGGTTGGTTTGTTTGCAAGCGTTGCTTCAGGAAAAGAAAAATAGATATACATATATATATAAAGGTTTCTTGAGCATCTTCCATCTCTTTTCTGAAGTGTGATCTTTAGATCCAGTGGGATCATCTTAACCCAGATCAGCCTATAGCTCCAACCTATTTTGAAACAACTGCTTCTTTGGGACTGCTTTAAGGAAGCGTGACAGCGCCAGGCTGTCCTCCACCATAAGGAACTGACCCAGAGCCTTCAGAGCCCCTAAATCAGCACTCAAAGCAACGCCCAGCCTACAGCAACCACTGTGCAACAGCACGGCTGGCATCCCGAGGATGGGGCCTCACTGAGCCAACACAAAGCTTTGTGTTTGCTCTGCCACAATGATGCACCTCACCCTTCACCTGCGCCTCGCTGCAGACCCGGAGCCAATGACTTCAACCATCAGATTCACTTTCCTGTTTCCTACCCCTGTTGGAAGCAGGGCAGCGTTCCAGCAGCAGAACAGACACACACGTGGGAATGGTGCCCATACAGAACCACCACCAGCACTTCCTTTGGGGCTCCAGCATCGCTCTCTGCCCCGGAGGAATGGCTGAGAGCTGATCGGATGCTCCTGCAGTCGCTCATCTACAGACCTCACCCTCAGCACACGGCCATTTCCTCCTTGCACGCTGCTCTGTGAACCCGTGGGTTTGCTGCCAGCCCCCACAGGGCACCTCCCCTCCCTCAAGGCAGCCCCCCCTGGCCCTGCATTCCCCCACAGCCCATTATTTACATGCATGCGGTGGCAGCCCTACCCCCCCATTCCCCATCCCTTGTCCCTCACTCCTTATTCCCTATTACTTATTCCCTATCCCCCACTCCTTATCCCCTATTCTTTATCCCCTATCCCCCATTCCCTACTCCTTATCCCCCACTCCCTGTCCCCCACCCCCTATTCACAGAATTGCAATGGTTGGAAGAGACCTCAAGAGATCATCGAACCCAACCCCTGCTACAGCAGGTGCCCACAATAGGTTGCACAGCTGGGCATGCAGATGGGACTTGAACATCTCCACAGGAGACTATTCCCTATCTCCTAATCCCCATTCCCCATCCCCTATTCCTTATCCCCTATCCCCTGTTCCTCATCTCCTACTCCCTGTTCCCTATCCCTTATATCCTGTTCCCCATTCCCTATCCTTTATTCCTATCCCCTCACTCCCTACCCCCCATCCCCTATTCCTTATCCCTGTCTCTTATCCCCTATTCTCTATTCTCCATTCCCTACCCTGTACCCTCTATCACCATTCTCCATCCCCATCTCCACTCCTTATCCCCCATTCCTCATCCCCTATTCCTTAACCCCCACCCCCCATTCCAGTTCCTTATCCCCATTCCCTAACCACAATCACTGTCCTCTATTCCCCATTTCCCATTCCCCATCCCCACTCCCTATCCCCTATCCCTTATCCTTCTCTTATCCCCTATTCCCCATCCCCTATTCCCCATCCCCATTTCCCATTCTCTATCCCTTATCCCCCATTCCCCAACCCCTCTTCCATATCCCTTCTTCCCTATCATTTATCCCCTGTCCTGTTCCACACCCCCCATCCCCACTCCTTATCTGCTATCCCCATTCCTTATCTCCATCACTGTTCTCCATTCCCACTGCCCATCCCGTTCCCTATCCCTATCCCCATTCCCCATCTCCTATCTTCCATCTCCTGTTCCATATCCCTTATCCCCACTCCCTATCCCCATCACTGTTCTCCATCCCCATTCCCTATCCCCCATCCCCTATTCCTTAACCTTATCCCATATCTCCCACTCCCCATCCCTTATCCCCCATCTCCTGTTCCATATCCCTTATTCCCCATTCCCTATCATCACTGTTCTCCATCCCCATTCCCCATCCCTTATCTGCTATTCCCCACTGCCCATCCCCTGTTCCTTAATCCCTATCCCATATCCCTTATCCCCCCATCTCCTATCCCACATCCCCATCCCCACTCCTTATTCCCTACTCCTAATCCCCTATTATCACTGTTCTCCATCCCCATTCCCCATTCTCATTCCCTATCCCTATTCTCATCCCCACTCCTTATCCCCTATTGCTGTTCTCCATCCCCATTCCCTATCCCTTATCTCCTATCCCCCATTCCCCATCCCCTATTCCTTAACCCCTATCCCATATCCCCCATTCCCCATCCCTTACCCCCCATCTCCTGTTCCATATCTCTTGTTCCCCATTCCCTATCGCTGTTCTCCACCCCCATTTCCCACCCCTTATCCCCCACTGCCCATCCCCTGTTCCCTATCCCTAATCCCATCCCCACTCCTTATCCCCTATCCCTGTTCTCCATCCCATTCCCTATTCCTTAACCCCCACCCCATATCCCCATTCCCCATCTCCTGTTCGATATCCCTTATCCCCCATTCCCCATCCCCTATTATCGCTGTTCTCCACCCCCATTCCCCATCCCTTATCCCCCATTCCCATCCCCATCCCCCATTATCACCGATCCCCAATCCCACAGCCCACCCCGTTCCTCATCCCATCCCTTTCTCCCATCCCCATTTCCTCCCCCGCCGACCCCGTTATCGCCCCTTATCGCCCGTTATCCCCCGTTATCGCCCGTTCCCCCGCTCCCCGCTCGCACAAAGCCCTGCCCTCCCCCGCCCCGCCCGCCGCCCCTCACCCAACAGCAGCAGCTTCAGCTCTCGCCGTGCGTCGCGTTTGTCCCTCCGCAGCTGCTTTTCGATCTCGGCGTTGATTCGTTTCGACTCCTTCACCTCGTCGCTCAGGCAACAAGCCATCATGGACTCCAGAGTCATGGTCCCAACGCCGCCGGGACGCTCCGGTCCTCCCGGCGCCGATCTCCGCTCTCCTCCGCGCGGCCGGGACCCCCCGGCCCGGCCCGGCCCCGCCGCCCCTTCCCCTCCCGGCCCTCCCCACCCTCCCCTCCCCGGCGTCCGCCCGGCCCGGCCCGGCCTCGACCCGACCCCAGCGGCCGGGCCCAGCAGCAGCAGCGCCGCCGCCGGCACTCAGCGCGCTGCCCCCGCCCGGCCGCGCCGCCCGCCGCTCCCTCCTCGCACGGCCCCGCCGAGCCAGCGAGCAGCCGGCGCAACCCAACCCACTGCCGCCGAAAACAAGCGCTGACCGACGGCCCCCGCGGCCAATGGGAGAGCGCGTCGCGCCGAGGGGCGGGGCTCCCCCCGCGGGAGGGCGGGGCTCCGCGACGAACGGAGAGCAGGTTTGGTTGGCCGAGCGGTGGGCGGGGCTTGCGACGCGCGTTCCCAGGGCGGGGCGGCGCCGCGGGGCATTGTGGGACGGTGGAGGACCCGGCGGCCATGGCGCGGCGCCGCCCGCCCCCGGCGGCCCTTCCGGCTGCGGCGGCCCGGCGTTGGCACGGAGGCTGCGCGGTGCGGGCGGCTCGGCCCGCGGGGTTGTGCTGCGGGCGCGGCGGAGCCGGAAGAGGAGCCGGGTTCCGTCGGCCCGGCCCACAAACGGTGGCTCCCGGGGTCACCGAACCCCGCCCGGCGCTCGCGCGGCCCCGGCCCTTCCTGAGCTCTGCTCGTTTCTCTTGCAGACGCCCAGACGCGTCTGCGCGGGCGCTGAGGACTCGCTCACAGCGCGGTGCTGCGAGGGGCAGAAGTTCCCGAAGGCGGGTTGTGGCGAGGAGGGATTTGGCCTCTGCTCCCAGCCGACAGACAGCCGAGGAAATGGCCGCAAGCCGGAGCTTTAGGTTGGGCATAAGGAAAAACTTCTCCTCTCACAGCGGCCAGGCGCTGCAATGGCTGCACAGGGAGGCGATGGAGTCGCCATCCTTGCTGTGTTCAACAGGCGTCTGCACGAGGAGCTGCGAGCCCTGGTTTAGTGCTCGTGGTAGCAGTGGTGATGGGGGACGGTTGGACTGGATGATCCTACAGGTCGCTTCCAACCTTGTGATTCTTCTGTATCCCTGCAGCGCTGAGCTGTTCTGCATGACCTCAGGCTGCGGTGTCAGATGGATGCAATGCGTTGGGAGGTGCTGAAGTGACCTCAGGCTGCTTTGAATACAGCGCTGCGTGCTACAGGCTGCTGTTTTGCTTGCCTTCCTTTGGGCACAATCACAACTCGAAGGACAAAAGATACTATGGAAGTTTCCTCAGAAAAAGAAAAAAAAAAAGTAACCAAACGCGCACCCATCCTCTGGACCCCCTGCGTGGTTCTTACATCTGTTCTGATGGATCCTGCTCAGGCCATCAGCGTAAAACTCACAGAAATGCAGGTCCTAAGGAGTGGCAGTCTGCTTGTTTCCTCCCTTTTGGTTTCAGTGCTGAGGGACTCGCCTAGAAAGCACCTGGAGAGCTGGGATGTCCCTCAGCTTGGTCACTGATACGCTGTGCAAATCCCTAACCTCAGTCTTCATTTCCCTGCCCCTCGCACACTGGTGTGTCTGTAGACTTCAAGTTCCTTTCCTTGCCCTTCTCTGCCTGCTGTCCCATCACAATCACAGCACATGTCACCACCTTCCAGGCCGTTCCTGTTGTGTTCCATCCTCTGCTGCTGGCTTCTGACCAGAGCTGCTTGCCTGAGCAGGGACATTCCTGCCCATCTGCTCAGCCCTGCCTGTTTTCCAGCAGACCGGTGAGGGCGTGGGATCCTCGTGGTTTTCTGTGGCTTCTTAAGTTCTGCATGAAGAACTTAATGAGCAGGATTACCCAGCAGATTGATCCCGGGCAGCTGGCAGAGGTGGTCAGAGCAATTATCCTGGCCTGGTGGTTGGTGACCCTGCACATAGCAGGGGGTTGGAACTGGATGTTCACTGTGGTCCTTTTCAACCCAGGCCATTCTAGGATTCTCTGATCTTCATGGCTCCCATTTGCTGCAGTTTAGGGAGCTCCCAACCCCTGGAAAGGAAATTCTGTCACAGGAGCCATCGGGGTGTGAGCACACCTTACTGACATCTCAAAGTCCCATTCCCTTCTTCCTTCCTGGCCCAATTTCTTGTGTGTGTTTTTAGTTCCATGTGAAGGGAATGGAGCAGGGACATCCCAGCTGCATTTTGCTGCAGCTGCTCAATCACCGACTTAATTGAGGAAAAACTGCATGGCTTAAGCAAGCAGCTTGCAAGCAGCCCAGGAGGATGCTCCCTCCTTAACAGGGGGTGAGCGCAGACCCCCAGCTCAGCCAGGCACACAGCAGGGATGGATCACACCGAATCACAGAATAACACCCAGCCTGCACCTCCTCTGGCACAACCTGGGGCCGTTACCTCTTGTCTCAGCACAGCTGGGACCAAGAATCACCCATGTCCAGGGGTGCAGTCCTTACATCTCCCCCCAGCATCAGCATTTTCTCCATTTAAGGTTTAGATCACGATGCTACAGTTCACATCCCAGCCGAGCTCTGAGCAGCAGAGCAGCAGAGATGGTTCGGGGCTGCGGATTTCCCCCCCCCTCCCCCCCGGGGCGACATTTTCTGTCGGGGGCAGCGGAAGGTTGGAAGGTTTCACCCTCCCGGCGGGTCGGGAAATGCAGCCCGGGCTTTGGCTGCCATCTCATTTCCCAAACCGGGAGGCGGCTGCGAACGGAGGAGAAACCCCGGATCCCAACAACGCAACCCGCACGGCCCCACCCGGCCCGCCGTAACGCTGCGGCTGCCGGGCCCGGAAACCGCCGCCTGTCGGGGCGGGACCGAAACCGAGACCGAGACCGAGACCGAGACCGGGCGGAGCGGGGCGGCGGAGCCGGCAGAGGGCAGCAATGCTGCGCAAAGGGACGCAGCATCCATGGCACGCAGCCGGGATGGATGGAGCCCTGGGCCTGGGGAGCAGCATCACCAGTGCAGTGCTGAGAAGGGACAGCATCTCCATCAAGTGCTGGGATGGATGGCATCCAGAGCTCTGGGGAGCAGCATCCCCACTGCAGTGCTCAAAAGGACAGCATCCACAGCACACAGCTGGGATTGGATGGCATGCAGAGTCTGGGGAGCAGCAACCCCATCTCAGTGCTAAGAAGGGACAGTATCTCTATCACCGTGCTGAGATGGATGCCATCATCCTGGGGAGCAGAATCCCCATTGCAGTGCTGTGAAGGGACAGCATCCACAGCACACAGCTGGGATGGATGGCATCCAGAGCCCTGGGGAGCAGCATCCCCATCTCAGTGCTGTGAAGGACAGCATTCCTATCACTGTGCTGAGATGGATGGCATCATCCTGGGGAGCAGCATCCCTGCCACAGTGCTGGGATGGATGGCATCCAGTGGTCTGGGAAGCAGCAACCCCATCTCAGTGCTGTGAAGGGACAACATCCCTATCAGCGTGCTGAGAAGGATGGCAGCATCCTGGGGAGCAGCATCCCTGTCACAGTGCTGGGATGGATGGCATCCAGAGCTCTGGGGAGCAGCATCCCCACTGCAGTGCTGCAAAAGGACAGCATCCACAGCACACAGCTGGGATGGATGGCATGCAGAGTCTGGGGAGCAGCAACCCCATCTCAGTGCTAAGAAGGGACAGTATCTCTATCACCGTGCTGAGATGGATGCCATCATCCTGGGGAGCAGCATCCCCATTGCAGTGCTGTGAAGGGACAGCAGACACAACACACAGCTGGGATGGATGGCATCCAGAGCCCTGGGGAGCAGCATCCCCATCTCAGTGCTGTGAAGGACAGCATTCCTATCACCGTGCTGAGATGGATGGCAGCATCCTGGGGAGCAGCATCCCTATCACACAGCTGGGATGGATGGCATCCAGGGCCTGGGGAGCAGAATCCCCACTGCAGTGCTGTGAAGGGACACCATCCTTGTCACAGCACTGGGATGGACGACATCCAGAACTCTGGGGAGCAGGGTTCCCATTGCAGTGTTGGGATCAATGGCATTCAGGACCTGGGGAATGGCATCCTTATAAAGACAGCATCCAGGGCCTGGGGAGCAGAATTCCCATTGCAGTGCTGTGCATTGCATCGCACAGCTGGGATGGATGGCATCATCCTGGGGAACAGCATCTCTATCACAGTACTATAAAGGAACAGCATTCCCATCACAGAAGTGGGATGGATGGCATCCAGAGCCCTGGAGAGCAGAATTCCCATCACAGTGCTGTGAAGGGACAGCATTCCCTTCACACATCTGAGGTGGGTGGCACCCAGAGCCCTGGGGAGCAGAATTCCAACCACAGAACTGGGATGGATGGCATCCAGGCCCAGGGGAGCAGCAGCAGCTCGCATCACCCTGGAACAGGTTACAGCCCTCCCTCCAGCAGGCTGACAGCACAGATGCCAGCTGCCATGCCAGCCCCCTGCCCATTATGCTGCATTAACCAGGACCCCTCCAGCAGCTCTGCCATCCCCTTCCTTGCACTCCAACTCTCAAAGCGCCTCCCAGGAGACCACGAGCCTATCTGCAAGGTCTCTTCCTACATCCTGAGCACTGCAAGCAGTGCTGCCACACAGTTGCCAGATGTTTCAGCATCTCCCCCCCTCCCCAAATTATTTTTGCAAGCTGTTCAGTCGCCTGTCACAGGGAGACGTCACTGGGAGGCTTGAGTTCTCTGGAAAGAGGGAGAAAAGGTGCCCAGATCAAACACGCAGCTGCTGACAGCCAGTGCTGATTTGGTTTTAAAGCCGTATGTTTTGCATCTGGCTTTCCGTGGCTTTTGTAGGTGGGCTCAGTGCATGGTAAATCAGGGTAACAAACCTACGTTTACCGTGATCCTTTCATCTCCTAGGATCCCAAAGCACATCATTTAATTGCACTCAGCCTGCACAACGTTTCGTATTCACGTTTCGTAAATAAAGGAATGATGAATTAGCACAGCTGCTGCAGTGTTCACACGAGCTCCTAAGGCACAATCTCCTCGTGCAATCAATCCAGCCCCGTGCTTCAGTGTTTTGTCATAAATTGAGGTCAGGAAGAAATGTCCTCCCTACCTGGAATGCAGTGCTGCTGAACCAGCTGAGAGGAGGAAGACACTTCAGGTTGTGGCGATCCGTCTTCCGTATGTGCCAGGCTGCTGCAAACATCCATTTGTCGGCTCTCAGGGGGCTCTGATCCTGCACAGGGGCAGCAGGGAAGAGATGTGGGGTCTGCATGGAGGTTATCTGCCTTTGCTGATGCTCGTTGCTGTTGCAGGGCTTGCTTGGGTGCAGTGATTCCAAGCCACGTGCTTCCTCCTCACACCTCAGCTGCAACAGCCCTTTTGCTGCAAGGAGCGTGAAGCATTCCTTGCAGCTCCGTGCTAAAAAGGATGCTAATTACCCCTAATCATTCTGCAGCAAAAACAGAGGGCATGGCAGCCACCTGGAGGCACGGAACCTGGTTATTCCAGACTGACTGATGAGAAGGGATCACAGAAGGTAGAGATGTTGCACCACATTCAGGAGTCCTGCCTGGACTGAGGCTCTCCTTTGGAGCACCACCACTGCATGGGAGAGCTGGTGGATGTGGTCAGGTTGAAGAGTGGTCCTGAAGGGGAAAAAAGCAAAAAGCATTCCTGGTCTCAGGGCCCGAACGGCTGCTGGGCCTTCCCCTTTCATTCCAGTGAAAGAGACTTTCCTTTTTATTCCTCCCAGGATGAAAGCAGGCTCTTAGAGCCCGCATTTCCACTGCAACAGCAGCGTGATTTTCACCTTATGTCCAAGACAAGAAAGCATCTTTGTAGCCTCTCTCCACGTCAGAGTGGGACAGAACACCTGAATAACTTTCAAAAGCTCTCCGTGATACTGACTTATTTTTGGCAGCTTTGTTAGATGGGTTCACCTGGGGCTCTCAGAACCCCTCCGTGCCCCAAAGAGCCCCTCGCTGCCTGCAGGGCCCTGCAGCTCCTCCATGTGCTGCTCCACCGCCGTCCCCATCCCTGCTGACACACGCAGCCCCACTGCTTGGGTGAGGTTCTAATCCTCTCTTTTCAGAGGCAGACACGCAGGCCAGCTGGAGGCAGCCCATTAAAGTGCCATTTACTGGGCACAAGCGAATTTGTGTTCCCCAGGACTGGCATTTGCCAAGATTATACCATAAATTAGAGCGTTTCCTGGAAGAAAGTAAAGAGAGAAGAAGAAAAAAAAATATGATAAAATGGAATCTTTTGTAGCCAACGTGAAAGCCAATAAAGGAACATTTCATTTTTTGCTTGGAAGGGAGCAGCAGCACGTTGTTATGGGCAGAAGGAGAGCTGAGATGCTCCTTCCCTTCACCTGCACGTGGGGTCAGCACCTTCTGTGCAGGGCAACACTGCATCCCATGGGATGGAAAATGCAGGGAGCATCACTTGTGAGCACACACAACGTGTTGCATGGGGCGTGCTGCAGGGATGAGACCTGCTCCAAGGGCTTTCCAACCAAAAAGAGGGCACCAAAAATGGGGACCTCAGCACTGATCTGCTCCGGGGCGATGGCCCACCCCATTTCCAACCCCTATCCCTCAGGGACACAAAGCCTGCCTGCACTATTAATAATCCTTGGCAGGAAGCTGTCACAGATTTCACTAATATGGAGACGTCGGAGGGAAAAAGCTACTGCACAATATGCAGGGGCTGTCACAATAACTCAGCTGCTATATTGTTCTCTTTAAAAATAAATAGCACAACAGCCCAGCCTTCATTGCTGGAGCCATGACGTGTGAGGTTTTATTTTTAATCAGAAAATGCACTGATTTTTCAAGACAGACAGAGAACAGCAGCCGAAATTGAGGAAGGCTCCCTGTGCACACACCAGCCCTGCTCCTCACTCCTTGTTTTTGCCACGCAGGGATCCAGCAGCGTTTCTCTGTTCACTGGAGCACTGCTGCCTCTGCCCATAGGGCTCTGCTGCTCTGGGCATGGTTTCTTCCAGCAAAGCAAAGCAGAGAAGAAGCAGTGCTTTGTTGTGGGGATCCCTGGGGCATTGCAAGTCAAAAATTGAGCCCCACATTGCGATGGTGGGGGTTTGCACTGTGATGGTGAGCCTTGCAATACGATGGTGAGCCCTGCATTGCAATGGTGAGCCCCATGTTGTGATGGTGAGCCTTGCACTGTGATGGTGAGCCCCATCCTGCAATGGTGAGTCCTGCATTACAATGGTGAGCCCCACACTGTGATAGTGAGCCTTGCACTGCAATGGCGAGCTCTTCATTGCAATGGTGAGCCCCACACCATGATGGTGAGCCCCATATTACAATGGTGAGCCCCATACTGTGATGGTGAGCCCTGCAATGTGATACTGAGCCCTGTGCTGTGATGGTGAGTCCTGCATTGCAATGGTGAGCCCCATATTGTGATGGTGAGCCTTGCACTGTGATGGTGAGCCCCATACCATGATGGTGAGCCCCATACTGCAATGGTGAGCCCCACATTGCAATGGTGAGCCCCATACTGTAATGGCACAACGTGATGGTGAGCCCCACATCGCCAGGGGGCTCAGATCCTGCAGCATCAAGCCAAGGACCATAAAGAATTGGGGAGGGGGCTTCGCTGATTGCCAAGTTTGCCAAGGGCAGATGTGCCTGACCCACCTGGTGGCCTTCAGTGATGGCATGGTGGCCAAAGGAAGGGCAACTCAAGTTGTCAGGATGCTGTTGTGCAAGGCCTTTGCACGGCCCCAAACTGCAAAATGGGAGAGAGAAGGGGTTTGTTTGCTTGGATGATCACAGCTAGGGGGCTGTGGTCCGTGGCAGTCACACAGCCCCCCCCCTGGGCTGCACCTATGGGGGGCAATGGGCAGGGAGGGGGCTGTTCCATCTGCTCTGCCCTTGTGAGGCCCCACCTGCAGAGCTGCATCCAGGTCTGGGGTCCCAACACAGGAGGGATGTGGGGCTGTGGGAATGGGAGCAAAAGATGCTCAGTGTGCAGAAGCACCTCTGCTATGGAGACGTGTTGATGGAGCTGGGGGTGTTTGGCTCTGGGGAGACCTCATTGCAGCCTTCCAGCACTGGGGGGGGGAGCGACTTTTTACCATCTGATAGTGATAGGGTGAGGGAGAATGGCTTCAAACTAACAGAGGGGAGACAGAGGTTAGATGTGAGGAAGAAATCCTTTACCCAGAGGCGATGAGGCCCCAGCAGTGCTGCCCAGAGCTGTGGGTGCCCAACCCTGGAGGTGCCCCATGCAAGGACAGGCTGGGGAGCCTGAATTGGGGGGGGTGGGGGTAACCAGGGTGGAGGAACCCATAGGGGGGGACTGAGGGGGGTGGCACCCAGGAGGGGAGAACCTGGGGTGGGGCAACCTAGGGGGTGACGACCCATGGGGGGAACCCGGGGTGGGGGGGGTCCGTAGGGGGGAAACCGGGGGGGGCACCCGGGAGAGGGGAACCTGGAGGGGGGACCCATAATGGCTCCGGGG